TCCACGAGCTGATAGAAAAAGGGAAAGATTTCCCTTTTCCAGATTTTTGCTTGATTTGGCAAAGGAAATAATAAAATCAAGGACTGTCAGCAACATAAATTAACATAAACAAATAAAGAAATAACTTTTAAACCAAAGTGATAACAACAGTCGGTAAAAACAACCAAAACTAAAAACTGAGGGACAATCTCGATGATTATGGGATTAAACCATGCACAAAAGAAAAATCAACCCTCATTCGAATCTATAAAAACCTTGAATGAAAATGAAACAAAGGAGTGAGAAATCGGGAGGAAAAATCTAGTGAGAAATTAAAAAAATAGATGAAAAGAGAGAAAGAGACGAGCTTATTTGTGTTCATGATCATCGGAGGAGAAGAATGTCACCAGAACCTTAATCGTCATCGAATGAGGTAAAAAACTGAGATCCCTTTTGTAGATCTAGGCTTTGATGATGATTGCATGGGTGTTCGGTCTTCAGATTTGAGTTTAGAATAAAACGAGGAGTATTTTAGGGTATAGTTTAGGTTTTCGGCCACCGTGGTTGGTGGTCGATGTGACAGTCGGGGTAGGTTTTCCAGTGGATAGCCATCAGAATCTGGATTAGGCTTGTTGGAGGGGAAGAGAGAGTTGGGAGCATTTTAGGTTGAGTTTTTTTTTAGAGAAAAGATATAAAATTAAATGAAAAAGTGAAATTTGGGTTATTTACAAAAAGGAAGAGAGTGTAATTAGAGATAGTCTAATTATTTCCACAGTCCTCATAAGTTTGATGTGTAATTCGTTTTAATCACCAATTTTATAATTTGGTCCATGAATTTCATTTTGAGCGCAATTCAATCCCCAATTTCAATGATATTTGTTTTTATTTATCTTAAATTAATATTTAGTATGATATGAGTATGTTTATTTATTAATTTAATTTCAATGTGTTTGTTTAGTTGTGTAATTTTATTTAAGAATGATTAATTTATTTAGTGGCATCGATTAACAAGCATGTACAAATAATTTGATCCTTAATCATAACATGATTATTTTTAATTTGTCAATATTTTATGAAACCTATTTGCATGACATTTTTTATTATTTTGCAAGCATGATAGCCTCATCCACATCACTTCATTTCTTACATAACAAATTAAAAGGTAATACAAGTTTAATTTGAATTATCAAAGTGGGTCATCCTAATTCACTTGGTTAGCTCGATTATATAATTTAAAGTGAACGTGTACCCTCTAGTGGAACAAATTAAAATTGATTAGAAGGGTAGAAAAGGAAATGTTCCCATATTTAGACTTATCGAAAATAGGCCTCTCGACTTTATTCAGAGGTTTAGTTTCAGTATTTATAAATATCCGAACATCCCTCATCTATCTTAAAGGCATGGTAATCCCCATTAATAAAAATTTGTTTGTTGCATAACTTTAGTTGAATAAATATAATGGACATGATATTTCTAGTTTTTTTTTTCTAGTACAGGAGCTTACCATTCTACCTTATATTAGGTGATGATTTCTCCATGGTTCAAAGCAATGAAATGTTAACAACTTGATTTTAATAATTTTGACGAAAAATGATGATTTATAGTTTTTTTTTCGGAAATGAAGGGGATGTCAATCTACTCTAAATTTGGTGGTAAACTTTCTCCGATTCAAGACACAAACCATTGACATTCCCTCTTAGATCTTAATGGATTGAATGCCATTACATTTATTTAAGTAAAAGGGATCAATAACTAGATTAAAATTTGAGTTAATAAATTTCATTGCAAAGACAGTAATTAATATACTAGGTACTGATTTTCAGGTGTTATGGGGTGCTAATCATTCTCTACATCTAATTGACTCTTGAACTTATTTTTCTGGAACACGAACCTAAAAGTTGTTTTAATAATTTTTAAAATAAATTTTATTAAAAATAAATTTTATTAAAATAAAAATATATTTTTGGGTGATCCAATCACACCCTAAATAAAGATTGACGATGACTCCCTCAAACCATGTTTTTATTTTAAAACCCGATTTTAGTCAAAACGAAACCCCTAAAATTAATTCATCGATTTTTCAAGATGTCACGATAACCAGTTCGGTTGAACCAGTTCAGTTGGGTCGATTTGGGTTTTTGGCTGAAGGGTTAGGCGGATAATTGAGTTTAAGCTTGATTTTGAAACTTCAAAATTTTGTTTTCCTTCACCCCTCTCACACCAACAACAAAGACGATAAGGTAAACACCGATAGACTTGGGACAACATGGGGATCACGATGATATAAGAGATGTCGTAAATAGAGCTACGATTGACGGCAAAACGATGTTGGAAACGTTCTTAAATAAGAAATGGTAAAAGAGGAAAGAGAGTAAAAAAGGTGACGTGATCTTCCTAAAACTGGAAAGTTTCCAGATTTGGTGCTTTAAAGCTAAACCTATTTAAAAAATGGTAAATTATGCCATAGGTCTTTAGGTTTTTACTACTTTCTGAATTTGATTTGAATTTAATTAAAAATTCAATTTAGTTATTGAATTTAATTAAAATTTTAATTTAATCACCAAAATTAATTTTAAGAAAAATTAGCCCCTAAATTGGGGTATGAAAACCATTGATGAGAGTCATGTTCAAGTTCAAAGATGAATTTCATTATTTTGAATATTATTAGCTTTATATCACGAGACATAATTTTTTTATTATATCGTATAAATCATTTTATCAATGCTAGTATTGAGAAACACAATCTTGATATCTATTTGATACAACTTAAGATCAAATATGCTATTAAAGTAGTTAAAATCCCAAAAAAAATAATGCAAATGAAGAGAAACTCTCTTTATAATTTATTATAATATCGAAATGATTATCAACAAATAAATAAACACGATTGAAAAATAAAAAAGAAAGAATATCAAGAATTATGTGAAAAATCCAAAAGGAAAAATCCACGAGTAGAGGAGAAGAATTTCACTAATATGAAGGAAGAAAATACAAGAGGATTTTGGAGAAAGAAAAACTTGATATATAGCCCTTATCCTTTGTATCTATTTATAGGGATAAATACTTGATTACAAAGGAAACTAAATAAAGTAGAAATATACTTTGATAAAGTCCTCTACTTTTAATCAAACTAGATTTCTTACTTTCCTAAATTTATATATTAATCAATTTAGGTCACTTTGAATTAAAGTAAAACTCTAACAAATCTCCACCTTGACGCAAATTCTGAAAGTGCGAAGATTTTAAGACAAAACACTCAAATTCGATAAGACACCTAAACTCAAGAAAAACAATTCTTCACTTTAACGTACAAGTACATCCCTCAAATGGGTAATCTTCAATAATGGATACCGACTGAATCCAAGTTTTTTCTAAGCTTGGATTTAGTCTTCACATCGATATGGTTATCATAAGTACCAACTTTGTTGACAAATGTATCACCGTGAGTAATATCATGCAAAACATGATTCCGATCATCAATGATAATTCTATCTTCAAACTCGTTATTCCCACGAAATTGAACTCTTATATGCTTCACATAATTGTTTTGTCCACGATTATCTCATTCAACAAAAAAATATTATCTCAACCAATAACAAAGTTATTTGACATGGAGCAGGAAACATCAACTGCATTATCTAAAATTGTTGAACCTTGTAGAACATAAAACTTGGTAGTCTTTCTCTGCCCTTTCATTACAACAAGAGAGCTCTTCTAAAAGTTCATAGCTCCACATTCACTAGAGAATTTATACCATTTTGAATCTAGGTTACCTAATGAAATTAAATTTCTACTCAAATCTGAAACATGTCTCACATTACCAAGTGTTCGAACAATCACGTCGAACATCTTAATTTTGATTGTTCCAATAACTGCGACTTTACAAGGGAAATTATTTCCCAAAAATATATTACATGAAGATACAACTTTATACGTTGCAAACTAGTCATGATTGGGACTCATATAAAAACTTCTACTAGAGCCAAGTATCCACTAATCACTTATTATAAAGTTGTCGCTAGCTACAAGTGGAAGTTCTCTATCATCGCACTCCTCCACTACCCTGGACTCACCAGATTTTTCAAAGTTATGCTCTTCAGCTTCTCTTTTAATTTTATTCTGTAATAAAGGGGATTTCATTTCGTTAACCCGTTTAGTACTTAAACCATCAGTTTTGATCTGTTTTAGTATCTAAACTTTTAATTTTTCAAAACCATATCTAATGTTTAGTTTTTATTTTGTTTTAGTACCTCACATCTAAACACTTAACGACACTGTAACTTTTTGGGTAAATTACATCATTTTGGTACTAAAGTTAAAAAATTCAATTTAACTACTTAACTTTCAAATTGACCTTATCTTAATCATTCTAATTTATTTTATTAATGATTTTTGTGACATGACATTTTAATATTATTTTGTTCATATATAATTAAAAATAAAAAAAAATCAAACTTGAGAGTTTTTTTATTTTGAAGTGATTAAATTAGGAGTAATTTGAAAGTTAAGTAATTAAATTACAAAATTTAAGCTTTATTGACCAAAATAAGAGCGAGAAGATAGTTGAATGATGAATTATGTAATTTACCCATAAAATTGTGCCAAATACAAATCATCCGTTAAGTTTTTTAACTGTGATGTATTAAAATAAAACAAACATAAACGTTAAGTATAATTTTAAAAATTAAAAATTTAAATATTAAAACGGACTAAAATTTATAGTTTAAATACTAATGTCTTCAATTATTAAATTGATATTTAAACATAGCAGAATCAATCTGAAATCTGTTTTCTGTACGTGAAAAGCTACAGAGGAGGAGTGGAGAGAGAGACAAATGAAATAGACTAATTACAGCCCAAGAAAGCACCCAGAAGGATGAGTCAGTCAACAAAGCTAAAAAGAGCAACTTAGAGGAAGCAGAGGTTAAAGAAGGGGTAGGTCGGCCATCTCAAACCTTCGATGTTCCCCCCAGCGAACGACAGCCCCACCGGAATCAACTACATCGGCGGCGGCGGAGGATTCTGGTCGACCCTATCGGTGCCTCCCTCAAAAACTGCCGTCGCCGTCACTGCTGTCGCGGGCCTCGCTGTGTTTGCTGCCGTTTTCTTCTCAACTACTAGGTAAAATGAAATTTTTATGAAAGAAAGGAAACTGATCTATCATTCAATGCTTAACGGTAAAAGTAATTTCCGAAAACCCTAGTAACGGTATGTAATAGGACTAGTTGATATGAATCAAATTCAAATAGATGAGAGCTATTAGGCGAAGTCAGACTTCATCTTCATCTCGAATTTCGCCCTCACCCTCCTCGTCATCGTCTTCTTCGTGGATTAATTTGCGTTCGCTTCTATTCGTTGTTACTTCTTCACTAGTTTCTTGTTCTTCCTCTGATCGGTGAGTCCTGGCCTCTTTCTTCTCCCTCTTCCCCTCATACACCCGTTTGTTTTCGTTGCTCTTGTTAGACTTTCTATTCATATCCCGATCTCTTTTGTTTAAGTTCGAACCTGTTTCCTTATTTGATCTGCTTCTTATTTTTTCTTTATTTAGATTCTTACTATTTCCCTTCAAACTTCTTTTTGGCTAATTAGGTTTTAAGCTTCTTTCTTAGTATTTTCAGTCATTATTGCTTCGTTGTTTGCTTGTTTATTTCAAATCCTAATGTTTTTTTTTCTTCACTTATTATTACTATTATTATTTGATCTGTGTTAATGCGACTTGGAAACTTTACTATTACTCTTTTTGCATTATTTTCTTAAATGGATGACCAAGATTGCCTTTAGATTGCTTCAATCTGTGACTTTAATGTTGCAATAATTGAATGGTAACTCTCATAATCAAATGAAACAGAGAGATTTTGAAAGGGAAAAAACACTCTATTTTATGAGGCGAAATCAGATTATTTTCTATCTTTTTTTTCCAATCAGCAGCTGGATAAAATTGGAAAATTAGAGGCAGGCGAAGAGTCACTCATGACTTACTACTTTATTTTTTTATTCTTTTTTCCCCTCCCAAGCAAAATAGAATTGAAATGTAAATCTTCTTCTGATGGATCCTCATTGGTGCAAGCTAGTATTCTTTGCTTGTGAGAATGGAATCTGCTCTAAGGCTTGATGAGGAAAGAGTAGACTGCCTCTTGGTATTATGATGGTTTTGAAATAACTCAAGTCACCCTTTCTAGCAAATTTTGTGATGATTTTTATTTCCTTGAACCTCATTATGTGAAACTCAGATAATAGCATTTGTATCGATAAATTGGTTCCCTTGATGTTATAATTTTATTTACTTATCACATTTTCTTGTCACATTATTATTAATTTCTCATTTTCTATTTGTAATTTGACCTTTTCCAGTGGTCGTCTCAGATCACCCTGGTCGCGCTGTAGAAAGAAACAAGCCCTCTCGCCTCAGCAATGGAGAAGTTTGTTTACACCTGATGGCCGACTCCAGGATGGTGGGGTCAAGTTCTTGAAGGAAGTTCGCTCTAGAGTGAGTTACTGCTACAACTAACCAATTGATTTTCTCTTTTATTTGTTATGTTGTAGTTGCAATGCTTAAACTTGTATACCATTGATGCAGGGTGTTGATCCCAGTATTAGGGCAGAGGTCTGGCCCTTCCTCCTTGGTGTGTAAGTACACTGAACCTCTGTTACCCTTGTTGCTACTGCTTCAATTGTTGTTTTTTTGCTCCCTCAAGAAGCATCACAGGAAGTTTCTACTTTTTTTCTGTCGAATGGTTTTTGTCTGGGGTAGCATCTTAGCCTACTCTCAACCCGTTAGTTTTCAATCTCATGTCATGACATTTCTTTTGTTCTATTTCTCCGTAACAGCTATGACTTAAACAGTTCCAAAGAAGAAAGAGATGCTGTTAGAATTCAGAAAAGGTTAACTTTCCTTTTTCTTCCTGTACTTTTTACTTTGTTATTCCTTGTAGCTATACCAGTTAAATGCTACCAACCGTATCCTCTTTCGTTTGCTTCTTCACCTTTTTGTCAACCTTTTGATGCAGGAAAGAGTATGAAAAACTCCGCAGAAAGTGTCGACGGATCCTAAGACATGGCAGTGAGAATTGTAAGTTATCTGAAACTGGTGGAACTTGTCAAAATGGAGACGGTGGAAGTCTTATTCAGGAGATGGACACATCTAGCTCTGAAGATGTTGTTAGTGCCGGAGAATCTCTCTCTATTGAGGAAAGGAACCCGGATGCTGAGTTTTCTGATGAACCATCCAGTACATTGTTGACAAATGATGATGTGTCAACACTGAACTCGTCAGACTCCGACTCTTCAGAAGACCCTGAAGCGACTGAGGGTTCCCACTCTTTGGATGGTAGAGAGGAGAATGATCCTGATATTGCTTCAGAAAGGAATGTTCCTGTCTCTAGCACTGAAGGGGTATCAAAGCTGCGGGCAACTGAAGACTTTTCCACCTGGCAGCGAATCATTCGTCTCGATGCTGTTCGTGCCAATGCTGACTGGATGCCGTACTCTCCTTCTCAGGCTTCAGTGCCAGATGGAAGGGCACGCCATGCCGCTGAGGCTGTTGGTTTAAAGGATTATGATCACCTATACCCCTGCAGAATTTTCCATGCTGCACGTTTGGTTGCTATCCTGGAAGCTTACGCACTTTACGACTCTGAAATCGGCTACTGCCAGGGCATGAGTGATCTCCTTTCTCCAATAGTTTCAGTCATCCCCAAAGATTACGAGGCATTCTGGTGTTTTGTAGGTTTCATGAAGAAAGCTCGACATAACTTTAGGCTCGACGAGGTCGGAATCAGAAGGCAACTCAATATCGTTTCCAAGATAATCAAATGCAAGGACTCTCAACTTTACAGGCATTTGGGGAAGATGCAGGCAGAGGATTGCTTTTTCGTTTACAGGATGGTGGTTGTCCTTTTTAGGAGGGAATTGACATTCGAACAGACAGTGTGCCTTTGGGAGGTAATGTGGGCGGATCAGGCAGCCATTAGAGCCGGGATTTCGAAGTCGGCGTGGAGCAGAATGAGGCAGAAGGCACCACCAACGGATGATTTGTTGCTGTATGCAATTGCAGCTTCGGTGTTGCAGAGGAGGAAATGGATCATTGAGAAGTACAGCAGCATGGATGAGATTTTGAGGGAGTGCAACAGTATGGCCGGGCAACTTGATGTATGGAAACTCCTCAACGATGCGTATGACTTGGTGGTAACTCTTCATGACAAGATCGAGTCGTCCTTTTGATCCACTCCCCAGAATTTTTGTCCTCAATTTGGTAACAATTAATAATATTTATTTTTGGGTAAATTGTGCATTTAGTACTTAAATTATCAATTTTTATTCGCTTTAGTATATAAATTTTTAGTACTTTTTCAAAATCATATTTAATGTTTAGTTTTTGTTTCATTTTAGTATTTTGTTGTTAAACTTAACGCATTTGATATCCAAAATATCATTTGTGGTCCATTTTAGTACCTAAAGTTTTAATTTTTTTTTAAATTTAATGTTAAATTTTGAATGTGGTATTACAATAAAAGAAAAACTAACCTTTAGATATAATTTACAAAAAATTAAAGTTTAGGTATTAAAATGAATTAAAATTGATAGTTTAGGTATTATAAGATACTCATATTTTTTCACAAAAATGTTGTTTAATATTTAAAACATATTTATTAATAATGAATGGTGCAAATAGTTGACCCTTGTTCTCATATGTAATGGGGTAAGGGGAGGTAAGATAGTAGGCTGCCCCCAATACCAGGTTGAGAGCAGCTTTCATAGAAGACCTCCGAATTATGAAATGCCTCCTTGTGCTCTGCCAACTGAGCTGGATGGTCATCTCATATTTATTAATAATGTTTTTGTTAAATAAGAGTAATTATAATATATATATATATATATATATATATATATATATATATATATTAGATAATTAAAACTTATAAATAAATATATTTTCAATATTTTAATAGCTACAATTTTCAAAAATAATATTAAAAATATAATATAAATAGAATAAAAAACTTAATAATATCATTTTAAAGCAATACAAGAATTAGTAAATAATATTAAAAGTAAGTAATTATTAATACTCATTAAAATTATAAATAAATATTATAATATTTTTATGTAAATAATAATCATCATTAATTACTTTAGTAATTTATCATATATAATTAAATAAAAATACAATTATATGAATTATTTATTAGTTAAAGTTTAAATTACATATAATATATTTTTAATTTTAACCCATTATTGACTTAAATGCTTAATCATTCTTTCCTATAAATATTCTAAGTTTAAATTTTCAATTTATTTTTAATTTTCCTTACTAAGATAAATTTTAATAAAATATATTATTAGATTACTTGTCTCAAGTTCAATTTATTAATAATTTGATGGTTGATACTCTTAATTCTCTCTTATTTTCTCCTCCAATCATATGAAGATTAGTTGGATAAATTAAATGAATTAAAACTATACGAAAAATTTTCAATTAGATAATAATATGATAAAAAAATTAAGATGTGGAAACTGACCTACCTAAAAGAAAATTTCATCCTCGAAATTTATCTGAAGCGAACAGTTGTGGAAACTGACCCTTATTTGATTTCTTTATCTTTCATGTAGCTTTTGCGGGATTGCAGTTACTCTACGAGACCTTTACCATTAGGATACGACTGTTCCGAAGAACTGTCTCATCCTGATCTAAAATCTATACAGACTCATCTTCATGAGATAACTCCAATCTCAGCTCAACATCCTCAACCTGGATAAAGTGACTCGGATCTGAATGGTAAAGCCTCATCATGGACACATGGAATACGTCATAAATACGGTTAAGCTGGAGAGGTAGTTCAAGCTGATAAGCGATATATCCAACTCTCTTCATAATACAATACGATCTAATAAATCTTGGACTCCAATTACCTTTACGTTTAAATCTCAACATCTTTTTTCATAGTGATACCTTCAGAAAAACTTGATCCCCAACCTCGAACTCAATATCTTTTTCTCTTTGATCAACATAAGACTTTTTTATGTCAAACGTTTCTCTTAGGTGATCACAGATCAATCTGAAAATATCCTTTGTAACACCCCATCCAGGTCCAGGAGTCCGAGCTGGATACTTGAGCGTACATTAGGTTCCAATCGTGTTAGACAGATCAGGATCCATATTACGCACATTTCAAGGAAACAACAAATTAAAATTTCTTAATATTCATCACACACAACGTTCAATGTAACTAACATGCAATTGAATCTTAATTAAACATGCAATCATTACATTTAAATGTTTAGGGATATTTCAGTTATTTCACATCGTATAATAAATCAAAAAGTCAAATGACCACATTAAGGTTACCACATGTTAAACATTATCATAAGAAAGCAGCACGCAAAATTTCATACCAATCGAACATCAAACAATCACTCAATTGATCATATAAGACTATGGACCTAAACGTAAATATGCAAAACTTATGTACCAAACAATAACATACAATTGAGGGTTCCATTATTTAATTAAGTGTGTTTAAGAAATGATCACTCAAATCTCATCAAATTTCCAAATTAAGAGTTTAAGTAATTATACAAATCAATTTTTGGGTTAAACATTCAGGGGTCAAATTATAATTTAAGAATACTTCACACCTTTAATGAATGCAATTTCACCTTTTTTCCATCGAGCAGAAAAATGAAGGGATCGATCCTTTCTTGAAAATGATTGATCATTTTTCACTGGGGATCGATCATTTTGAAAAGGGACCGATTCTTTACAAAACAGAAACTTTGGAATCGATCATTTCCCCTAAAAAATCGATCCTTTTTTCTGAAAAACTACAGATTTGCTAAGAACATGCATATTTGGTCAACTAATCACTCACATAAAAGTAATCATGGGCTAGAAACATTCTTAGACACTATTCAACCACTTCATACATGTCAAAACAAAGGTATAGCATGCTTTATAACACAAGTCATCACATAATACACATTAATCAAAGATTTGACACCAAAAGTCAATAATTGCATAAAAGTTCATTTCAAGCACAAGTCACCTAATCATTTTTGGCATTTAAGGTCGTTTCATGCAACCTAATAGTCTAACATGTTTAGTTTACTATGTTGCGCTTGCCTACGCACTCCAAGCACTTCTTTAAGGCCTAAATTAACATTTGAGTATTCACATGCTTTGGTTAAACAAGTTCTCTCATAACATTCTCAAATCAACACATTATACCATCATCAATCTTCAAATATAAAGCAAGTGTTACAAGTCTAGTCCATACAACAAAAGTCATCAATACAACATACATGCCTAAGTCCAAAACGTCACCCACATTGCCACACTTAAGCTTTCCGAAAACATATACACTTCATTGAACCTTTGCCTTGCTTGATCACTCCTGATGCCAAGCCTCTTGCCTCCGTTCGATTCCATTACTCTGAAAATTTTAACAACGAGTGTGAGCTAATAAAGCCCAGTGAATGACAATCATTCGAAGACAATGCACATAGTCAAGATGAAGCATGGCTCTATATGCTCATGTTTAATATGCCCTTACCTCGTCGTACAAGTAACATCATGGCATGCTTAAATGATCAATTACATCTTCTAAATGCACATAATTTCCAGAATTTACAAATGTTACATAACTACTTAAGTCATGGCATTCATAAGCGCTCATGCACAATTACCTTCCTTGGCAAGGCACACACAAAACATACATACTTTCATTTTAAGATTAATGGTCTTTGTTCAAAACACAACTCACTCATTGGATACACGGACTCCATACAACTCCCATTTTATTTGCGAACTTACATAGGTCCAAAACCATGAATTACGGAGCAAAGCTCTACGCCCAACCAAACCCCGTATCTTCTCGAAGTAAAACCGACCAAACCCCATATAATCCTGAATCATACACACTTTTACAAAACACATAGAGTATTCTTTCCTAGGTATGCCTTTCATATCCAAAGGTCCCATTAATAACAAATAGCCAATTAATCCGAGTTTACCAATAGGGATTGTCAATGATACGTAGTTTTCACATATTAATTCAATTACATTTCGAAACACACTTACATATATTTGTCATTATCATCCATATATATGGACAGTGAGAAAGTTCAGCTCGTCCAATCACATATTCACATTATACACTTTCGCTTTAAACACATCGAAATTGGTAATCATGATCAACTCACATATTTAGAATATATATAGATTTTCGGAAATTGCTTTCAAAATCCTATGCATCATTTGCAACACAACACATTCACATTTCCCCAATTACGATATATGAGACATCGTACACAATTCTACATAACTACTATTTCATATTCATATTTCCAATATACGTGTCATCACATATAAATCAACATATCTCAGATCATCATCAACATCATTATCCAAATCACCTAAACATATCAAAATTAATCAAATGCATCAACTAGACAAACCTCAACCTTAAATCGTATCCATTTCTAAGAATGAGAGCCACTCACCTTACTTGTCCGAAAACCGAAAACGCTCCCAAACGCTAACCAAACACCAAGCACATAGTCTTCCCAACAAATAACACTATAAGGACCTTGAAAAACAAAAGAACACATCACAATGTATTCTAAAATAAATCAAAATTCTATGTTTCTAAGACAGAGTGAAAACGTCAAAATTACCAAAAATCACACTGAAACAACTATCCAGCACATCCGATCTGATTTGCATCTCTTCTCCTTTACAAGAGATGATAATCAACAACTAAAATCAACATATAATCCAATTAAAACCGCACAAATCAACATTCACAAACCTAATATTTTGAATTCCCAAAAATACCGAAAATCGACATTGTTTTCAAGAAATCAATATCCAAATCATTTACAATCAAAAAACTTATTTAATATAATTATAATCACTCCAAAAACAACTCAATTTCATTAAGAAAAACTTAAAATCAACTCAAGAAATCAGCACATTAATTAACTCCGAAAATCAATTGAAATCTTTTCAATTAAATCAATAATTCCACAAAATCATTAACTCAAAATCACTTGCCCTCCAAGCATGAAAGAAAACCAAGGAGAAGATCCTTACCTTGCTAAAAAATGGATTGAAATTGAGATCATCAATGGAACTCCATTATGATCAAGCTTTAGAAACAAGAAGAGAAGAGAAGAGAAACTTGAGAATTAAAATCAAGATTGAGATGAGTGAATTTAGAAATCAAGAAGAGAAAAGAAAAGGAATTGGTCAGCTAGGTTGAGAGAAAATAAAAGAAAATGGAGGAAGTTACGGGAAGTTACTAAAATGCAAAATGAGAAGGAAATGAAAATCATGTGAATGAAAACAAGTAAATAAGGAAATATAATTTAGATTAAAATGAATCTAGATGGAATTGTGGTAAAAAAGAGAAGTTAAAAGTATAGTTTAGGAGGAAAACTCTAAATATAAGCCTTGATAAAATTGCTTCATAGACTTTGGACATTGTGATAATTTACATAATGGTCACTAAAATTACAAATTTCCAATTCTTTCAATCTAGTCACCAAACCAATTAATTTAACTTCCAAAATTAAAATCAAATATATAAAACCACTTAAACCCTTTCCAAAACATTTATTAAATAAAAATACAAATTTTAATATTTTCTTTCTTTTTTTCTTTTTTTTTTATCGAAAATCCAGAAATTGACCAGAAACCAACCCAAATTACCAGACCCGATTTTGGGACGTTACAACTCTCTCCCCCTAAAAATAATTTCATTCTCGAAACACATGATCAGATTCACTAAGGTCTTACCCAAAGTTACGAAAACACCCTAACAACACATCAAAGAGCTTTCCAAAATCCTAGGGATTCCCCCAAGCGAACTAAACCACAACTATTTTCTAACAACAAAAATTTTGATACAACTTACTATCATATTCACAAAAATAACCACACAAACAATCAAAATATTTTCCAATTAACATTGACTCATGGAAATATCACAAAAAGACTAACTCAAAAGCAGACACAACCGACAACCAACAAAATCAAAGTACGCCATAACCACACACAAACCACGAAACCTCTTATCCAATCCACTTACCATGAACCACATCTCAACTTTCCTCCTCAAAAAAATCCTCTTGAAAGAAACATAACCAATCCAAACAAATCCACAATACCATAACTCTTTCATACCAATGCCGACACTTAACCACAACCTTAACTAAATCACCGTACCTTCCACTTATCTTTACTCTCACAAACCCAAATCTGTACCAACCACACTCGACATAACACAGCCCAAACCAAGTCTGCACCTACGTACAAAACCTCTCCAAAACAATACTCAATCATTGACATTACGAAATTTTACAATACGGAACAATCGGAAGTGAACTACTAACGAAACTCGAACCTCAAGACACCAAACCTAAATCAAATCTCCACAATTCTACTACGCCACTCTAACAAATCTCACAAACTCCACAATACACCTTTGCAAACAACGATGAGTACTGTAGCTCAATCTTGCATCCCCAAAACTAAAATTTACCCACACACGAAATCGTCCATAGAAGCATAAACCACCACCAACAAATAACACTCTCAAGGACCAATCACTCTAAAACTTCATACGAACCTATAAACCTCGGACTAAGTTTACCCTTACGTCCAAAACGCAACACCTTCTTCCAAGGCGAAACTTCCAAGAACACAAGATCACCTACGGTAAACTTAACCTCACGACACTCCAAATCTGCGTAAGACCTATGTCGATAAAAAACAACCTTCAAACATTATGTAACCAACTTAACCTTATCTTCGGTCTCCCGAGCCAAATCCGGACCAACAACACCTCAAAAGGAGTCATTTGAATACTAGTCTGATAGCTGTTATAACATGCAAACTCCACCAATGACAAATAACATTCCCAAGAACCAACAAAGCCTATAACATAAGCCTGAAGCATAACCTCTAAAACTCAAAGTATCCACCCGACTGACCAGCCATCCGCGAACGATAAACAGTACTAAAGCTAAAACTCGACCTTGATGCTTACGAGAACCCTTTCAAAATCCTGACACAACTCGAGGATCGCAACCCAAAATAATCAGCAAAGGAACACTATGCAACCTACCATCACCGCCAAGCGCAACTCAACTACGAACCTAAAATGAACCCATCACACGCATATATAGAAATGCGCACTCTTAGAAAACGTTCACAAATGCCCAAACAAAATCCTTTCCCGGCGACAACAAGAGCAACTTGTCACAAGGTATAACACGTTCCCACTTCCATTACCGACTATTAACCTACTAAATCAAACCCGAAGAACACTAATACTCGGATTTTCACACGTTAATAAACCAACATTGACTAACAAACTCAATAACCAAACATTTCAATCCCTGCTAGCACTACAGCTATCTTGCCACTCCCAATACATCATCGTAGCTCACAGACGCATCACAACCCCCGCCAAATGTCCTTGCAAGAATCTCACACCTCAACTCAAATCCTCAACCACACACATCCTAGCTTGGAATCACGAAACACCTAGCCATCTAACATCATCATGCACAAATCTGATTTTCAAAGAACATTTTCGTCACCAAGCTTTTTAACCCAATCAAAACAACAACAAAACCTCAGTTACTTGAATCAAACATTCCAAGATACACAGAACCACATCAGCACAATTAAACCAAACCACCACTATCAGCAAAATTTTAACCAAAAGCAAACCTTGGCAGTACTTTTCGATGACCTCTAACCCACACTAGCTCATAACTCCTTTGGACCCACACCACAACTTCAATTGCAACACCACGACCTGGAATCAACACCTATAATTCAAAATTTTATTTCAAAGACTTCTCAGTCAACCCCGAACAATAATCTTAGAAAACACAATCCAAGAGGACCTCAACAAAAATATACGATTCCACTAATCTCTGAACAACATAAATGACTGTCGAGACGAACAACACCACATAAACTGTTCTGAAACAATCACACGTGCCTCATAAACCTCTATCTGTCAACAACCCAACCGCAAACCAGTTCTTCAATAACACCTCAGATTCCCAAACCAAATCAACTAATTCTCTTCCATGTTACGAATTTACAAACCCGACTTACTCTGTTTACATCAACACACACCTGTGCGTCACATTACTTCCCACCTTAACCCGTCATAAGAGTACCTCATACCAAAACGAGATACGACCATAATCCTCTACGCATGCCAACCCCAAATGACACTTGACTCAATTCATAACCCAACAAAATTTGCAATCTGAACTCAAATCCTTCTAACTCAGTCTACATCTCATGTCGAACAACAACAGATACCAGAACCACAACATTACTCCTCAAGCAAAATTAAACCCCTTGAGCCGAAGAAAACAAACTCTTCCAGAACCATTTACTGAAATATCTCGACAATTCAAACATCTTTTACGGGATACTTATTAACAACCGAACCAATAACCACGGAACCAAGATCAATCAGAGACCAACACACTTACACAATAACCCAAACTTCAAACGTATCGAATGATCAAACCTCTGCCCACACATGAAACTATTCCATACCCCAGAAGACGATTCAAACAACCAATTAAAACTTAACACTCAACGGCGTCTATATACACACCTTACACTCTTTAACAACTAAACACCAGTATCAAGACACCGACACAACCATAGTGATGTTTCCATTCCTGAATAAAGCTCAGAAATCATTTATTTATGTATTGTTAAAAGATGCTACTTGTGTACTTCTGAAATGCATTAGTTTTGTTGGTCCATGGCTGAGATTGATGATTTGATGCTATATTGTGATAACCCATTTTGTAACTAATAGTTTGATTTTTTTTCTTTTCTCAGATATGTCCAGAAAGTGACAGTTAGTCGTAATTATGGTGGAAGCATAGTGGAATACATGGACTTTATGGTACACATTTTTATTTACATCCACTTTAATTCTTTTCAATTTTTCCTCTTCTTTTCATCTCTTTCTCTTTTTCTTGCATACTATGACACCTCACTCTCGTATGCACTAGGTGCATTGTGCAGATTAGCATATATAATGTGTACCACCGAAGACAGAAATTGAATTCTGCCTTTCTGTGAAGAGTGTTTCCCCCCCATGTTCTTATATTTTATACACATATACGGGAAAGCTAGCATCAGTCTATTTGGCCTTTCATTAGGGTTTCAAGTCATTTACTATATTGATCATTGCATACTCATATACATGATTGAGTGCCTTCTGAAATTGTTGTGGCTATAGCAACTTATCTTTTGCTTGATTTATGTGTATAAGGTTCGCAATTATTCTCCACCTCCATCAATCAACAATAGCATCAAGGTGGGTGCCCTTGTTTTAATATTAATATGGTGATTGCTCTGTGGTTTCATTGCTACCCAAACTGATTCTTATGAACATTACATTGTTCATTTTGCTGTTTGTAATGAGCAGCTCATTGCATATTCATTTGTAATATTTAATTTTAACAAATATCAATCCCATCTGCAGATGGAAGTTGGAATTGAAGATTGCCTGCACATTGAGTTTGAGTACAATAAAAGCAAGTAAGTTGAACATCTATGGATCTAGCTTAAACCTGCCATCATAGGCTGGCTAAGCCGCTTAGGTTTGTGCAAGTTTAGGATTTAAGCTTGCTAGCTTACACTATTATAAGTAGCAATTTCCCCAGCCACTTTATGTAATGTAGGTTTTGACTCAGAGACTGATGGAATCCGAATTGCTCAGTATCACATGAAAGATGTTATTATTGGGAAGATATTTTTTCTTCTTGTGAGAATCAAGATTAAGAATACGGATCTTGAGATAAGGCATCGAGAGTCAACAGGATCAGGAGAAAATACCCATGTTGAGACAGAGACTCTAGCAAAGTTCGAGTTAATGGATGGTGCTCCAGTCCGAGGTTTGCTTGTAACTTAAGATTTCTTGATATTCCGAGACCTGATTCGAGTTTATTTTTATGGAAGGATATTGATTTGGGCAGACATTTAGTTTTGATGCACCAAATATTTTAATCACGTGCTTGGTATTGTAGGTGAATCAATTCCAATCAGGCTGTTTCTTAGTCCATATGAACTGACTCCAACATATCACAACATTAACATCAAATTCAGTGTGAAGTATTACTTGAATCTTGTTCTGGTGGATGAAGAGGACCGCCGATACTTCAAACAACAGGAAATTACGATATACAGGCAGCAGGATTCCTGATTATGTAAACTTGGAATTCCAACCAGTAAAGAAGAACAAATGATTTGCTGTCGAGCGGAACCTCCCTAGGGCCTCGAAGCTTAAGGTTAAAAACTACCGGAACACAGTGGTCTTCTTTTGAAGAGCTATACCTTTTTTCTTCTTTTTTGTGTAGACTTTGATTGATTGTAGCTTTGACATGGAATTGGTGCAAGGATGCAAATTATTCATGTGCTGTTGAGGAGAATATAGTTGCTTTTCGCCGCTGCTTTTGCTAGGGCTGCCATTAATGTTGACAGGGGTGTTCAAACCGTTAACCAAACTTCGGAACTTTTTTTTAACCATTAACTGAACTAAGATCAAATTAATCGATAGATTAATTGAACTCAATTTCAGTTCAGTTAATTCGATTAAAATCGAAAAGTGAATAATCCTAAAGGTTGGACATTGTACTCTACCTATTACAAGTCTCCATTCTTTGTGGGAACTACATGGCAATGGCATGAACCATGATCAATCAAGATTCCCATTATTTTTCAGTGATTTCCCATGCTTCATGGATTGTAAGCTACTTGAATGTGTTAAATTTGAGGATTTAGTTGTTGCTACTGGTTGCAAATCCTTGAAATTTGATTCCCATTTTCACATTGAAGATCAATAGGAAAAAAATGTCACACACAACTTAAAAATTAAGATGAGACAAGGTTCCTGGTATGATGAAAATGTCTAAAAGAAATCATATTCAAAGTCAAGCGATCTCGGTGGTAAAAAAGTTATTGTTATTCTTTAATGTTCCAGGTTTAAGAACCATTAATACCAGGATACAAGTGTTTAATGTCAAATGATTTTTAGAGTTGTTTTTTAACATAATACTATCTTATCTTATACTTATCCCATACCCCATATTAATAAAAAAAAATCCAAAAAGAGAAGGGGGAGAATTGAGGGCAAAACTTGATCCTCTATGGAAGCATCATCTAATCATTTAGTATATCACTCTTCGGATTCTGATGGCAGTCCTTCTTTGAACCGTGTGTAAAGACCCCCTTCTAAGTGGAAAACATTTTTGTACCCATTCAGCACAAGCAAGTAGGCTGCTATGAGTGACCTGTCATGATTGACAAAAGCAAACATTATTTGTATCCTCCAATTCGGATAAGTATGGCAATTAAATATCTTTGATTGCTTGTATTGGTTGAAAATGAAAAAGCATCATCAACTACTCATTAGGCTTCTTTAGCTTCTGTTTTAGTATATGTCAATGATTTATTTATGAGATAATATCTGTTCAGAATTTTTCTTATAGTTTCTTTTAAATAATGTGGGAGTGAGTACAAGATAATATATGTTCATAATAATTTTTAACCATTGACAATATACACATACTCTATAAACATAACTGCTCGAACTTAGGATCTCAAAAGAAACAATACTCCATCATTGAGACCACTCGATGGGTTCTCATTCTCAATAGTTTTGAAGTCAATACCTTGATTGTTGACCTTCGGGGAGATTTTGGGTTGGCTTCAATGTACCCCCAGTTGTACATGCCACTATTATCTTGGCATCCTTGTCAAATATTGATTCCACACCTGCTCAAAACACCAAATACTTAGTTCCTTCATATCTTCTAAGCAGGAAATGGTCGTAGACAATAGAAGAAACATCGGGAATTTGACCCTACTTTGAATGAACTCTGGGTTCTCTTCTGTGCCAGAAAAGATGCCAAAAAATGCAAATGCTGCACGCCTAGAAATGTCCCATGCCGTCCACTCCTTTATAAGCCTATATATCTGAATATTAACAGCACCTGTTGGATGACCCTGAATCAGAAGGCATGAAATTTAGTAGCAGCACTTTACTTTTCTGTTCTTGTCATCATGGAAGTTATAATGAGCTCACTAACCTCTTTGAATTCAGCTTCAGGTCTTACATCAAGAATCACAAAGTTATTCTCTTTTTGAAGGCGAAAAGCTTCCTTTGCATCAACGCTTCTTACCTGCATGGAGCAAATATCTGTTGTTAGTTTCAAAATGGCCCAAACTAGTAAAGGGTAGTCTTCTTATGCTTGTGTTGTCATCCTTGCAGTTCACCTGTATACATTAAGAGACGGACACAAAATTTTACGAACAAATAATATGAACTTAGGAAAGAGTATTAAAAAGTTAGAAGTGAAAAATCAAAAGATTTTAGGAATATGAAATTCCGCTCTTCAATCATTCCCTTGGTCCATCAATGTTCACATTGTGTGAGTCCCTTTTATGGAAATCTTTCTCCATCCTACATATAAAATTATTAGGGTGTAAATTCTAAGAGTACGGATTGGTCATATGCATGTGCATATATCACGCTTTGGAAAGATAGAGACATTAATCTCATGTTAGAAAAAAAAAAGTAAATTCTAAGACTAGGCCACGCCTATTCTTGGAAGCTAGTCTTCGCTTAGATGCCTGACCTGATCTTATAGTCAAAAGGCAACAACAATCTGTGGAAGAGATAGTCGATGGGTAAGTCCTGAAGTTGGGGTATAGTGAAGAAGATGAAGTTGGTGTTGGGGTGATTGAAGCAAGTGCAGCCATTTTCTTATTAGAAAATATATTTGTAAAACTTTAACATATATAAGCTACTAAAAATCTAAAAGATAAAGTACAAAAATTGTACCTCAATTATAAGATAAGATATTGTTTTGTTGAGTCCGCCACTATCAAAAGTTATAAAATAATCTATTGACTATGGAACGTTGGTTTGTTAAGTCTCGACTATTAAAAGTTACAAAATTATCACCTAACTACTCATCTATGTCAAACTCGTTCTTTTCTATTAAAAAATTAGTGATAGTCTGATCTGAACAATAATTTGTTGACTTGAATATGATCAATTTTGATCCTATAATTGTTTGAACTATATTTTATAAATCGGCTCTTTATTTATATTATGTCGTTAAGTCCATGCTTGAAAGCAACTACGGTACCAATAGACATTATTAAAATATGATTTTATCATATCCTAGCTAGTAGATTAACGGGCAACTCAGGTAACTGTCAATTATTTAACAGAAAAGAATGAGTTTGGAACATATGAATAGCCGGGTGATCATTTTATAAGTTTTAATAGTTGAAGGACTCAACAAAACAACATCCTATAATTTAAGGATTATTTTATAACTTTTAATTGAAGACCATTTGTATATGACAACAGGTCATACATTCTACAAACGTGATTACTTAAACTTATGATTTTTAGAGAGAATAATATTCTTCTTTATTATTGAGATCGAGAAAACATTATCGAAACGGCTCTAGCTTTTTTGTTGTCATTTTCATGTTGTTTCAAAAGAGACGGATGCTTGTGTTAGAAGTGGGGGCAAGGCATTCATTGGGATTTTTTCTGTTATCATCTCTTGAAAAATCTGGGTTTGTGGTTCATGTGTGGAGGTGTTTGTCATGGCTGGATTTCTCTCATCCAAACACAACCCAGGTCATTATGCTTTTCCTTTTCAGTATTATCCCAAAACCTCAGCTGCTTGTATTTTAGGCGCTTGTCCACTTTCGGTGTCATTACTTGTTTGCCTTCCCCTTTGAATTCACCATTACATGTTTGACTCATCTACGGGTGATTAATGAGCAGTTCGTGAGCTGCTCGAACTCTACTCAATCAAAATTGGATTAACGTTCAACTCGGGTTGATTTGTCTCTAAATTTTAAAAAGTTAAATTAAAGAAAGTCTAATTGGTCTCGATAAGTTTACGAGCAACTCGTTAATTTTTATTAGTTACCTTAAAATTAATTCATTCAAAAAATAAGTCTAAATAATAAATATTAATTTGAAATTTAGGCTTTGAAAGTGTTTCGTACACTCTTTTGATAATTGTTTGGTTAAATTTGTTAATTTATGTCCATCGAGCCGACCCAAACCTGAATTTTGTTTTAAAAAAACCCGACCCGATCGGGTCGGAACCCATCGAGTTCGGATCCCATGTCCATCTCTATATAGATTGGACGAAGGAGATTGTAGGTCAGAATTATTTTTATTTGAATTTTGGACAAGTTTTATGATTTTTAAAGAAAATTTAAAATAATCTAAACCGATAAAATGTTAGGAGATGATGAGATGAATTTATCGATAGTGTTAACAGAAGATATCGATTATTACCATAAACTGTCCAATATTATCATAACCTGTATCAACTCTAGTTTTCATCCAAAGATTTAATCTGTCTACATTTGTGCTTATGTCCGTATATATTCGTCACTTCTTTTATGCTTAACAAAATTGTCCCATAAGGATTGCAGTTGTGGGAATGAATTGCTGTAAATGATCCTATGGTTACAGTTATGGATGTATACAAGATTTAATGTTAGAGAGTAAATTTATAACATTTTAAGGGTAAAAATATATTATAATAAAAAATGATAAATTACAAGTTTGGTAACTAACTTTTACCATCTTTCCTATCTCACTCACTGTACTTTTAATTTTTTAATTTACTCATTGAACTTTATAGATTGAATTTTTTTATCACTCCGCCATTAAATAATTAATCGACATCAAAACGACATCGTTTTGAATTCCTGAAAAAAAATCAAATTTTAGACTAAAATGATGTCATTTTGATTAAAATACGGTTATGTCATAACACTGTTAATTATTTAACGACGGAGTGATAAAAAATTCAATATATAAAGTTCAGTGAATCAATTTAAAAAATTAAAAGTACGAAGAGTAAAATATGAGAGAGAGATTAATGTTCAGTTACCAACGTGAAGTTTACACTTAAAAATATATAAACAAAACCTAAATTATATGATAATTAATTTTTTTGGAGTACACCCACCAACCCCTTAATCTCTATCCTTTAATATCTTTAACATAATAGGTAAATTAATATCATATAAAGTCACCAATATTTCATTATAGAATATTGAAATGGGATTTTTCCTCTCATCACACTACTAGTATTTTCATGCTTACAAATTGAATTGGAAAAAAAATAGATGTATTTCACTTTTATACTTTAATAGGTTGTTTTAGTACCTAATGAGGGCAATGCTTTGTAATTATTTTACTCTACTTCGGTTTATCTTACTCTACTCATCTGATTCCGTGTCTACACATGAGTAACAAGTTTCATTCTTCTACTTTAATTCTTTATAATTATTTTATTTTGTTCAATTATATAATATTATTTTTATTTTTATCTCGGATTAACCATTTTGTCTAACAATATTAAGATATATTTTATATTTTATTTTACAATTCTAATCCGAGATAAACTTTATACGTAATTGGTTGTGGCAATTTGCGTCATTGAAATTCTCAAGTGGAGTAAGAAAGAACATTCATGTGTGAAAGACTCTCAGAAAATCAATGGATAGTTATCTTCTACTCATCTGATTCCGTGTCTACACATGAGTAACAAGTTTCATTCTTCTACTTTAATTCTTTATAATTATTTTTGTTGAGACATGTATGAATAGTTTCCTTAAGACAGATTCGCCATCTCCTAGGTGCTTTGAGTAACATTGGACGTCGGTCTCTCAAGATACAACAACAAACGATCACAACAGTAAGCACAACTGTAGTGATTAGTCAAACACAATCTTGCCTTTCTCTATCACCGGAAATAACGAATTTGGAATGAATTTTCTAAGTGTTTTTCCTATTCCAAAGTTCTGAACTTGTGTAACTTGTGTCTCATTGTGCCTAAATTATCCTATATATAGGGAGAGGAAATTGATTGAAAGGTTAAGACCTTTCGATGAAAGGATTTAACCTTTTGATTAAAAGACTTCTCCTTTTGATGAAATGGCTTAACCTTTTCATAAAATGATTTAATCTTTTCATGAAGAGAATTGTTGAATAGGTATGATTGAATGGATGCAACTTTAAACCAAAAATTAAGTTCATTAACCAAGTGACATGACTTATAATTAATTAGTTATAAATAGCATCAATTCATTCATTTTTCCATCAATCCCCCACATGAATGAATTTGATGATTCAAACACTGACTCGATATAGTGATAGATTATACTTTCGATGTTTGCATAGGATAGGTAGGTGTCCCCCTTTGAACCTTCCCTTGTGAAAATATGTTTACCTTACTGGTTGTCCAGTAGACGTGATGTCCTTGAACTATCATGTCGTTAGTGTAAGCAATGACATACCTTACACAAATATCTCATAGACAAGAATTTGGTTTTCATGGTTATATCCATATTGCCATGGACATCTCATGGTTTTGCAAGAGTTTAGAGAACTGTGCCTTAATAATCTCTTTAAAGCGGCTCCACTTCACTTTCACATAGGTTACTTATGTTGTTCGGCTCACCAAAACACATAGTGGTCACTAAAAGCATTGCTTAACCTTTTCCATATTTTAGTCACAATTTTCATCATAGGAATGGACTTAGGGATAAGAAACCCCACAGTGATCTCACAAGGTCTATGCAAGTAGGTTGTTCCATTGAACTTAGATCTTGGGATTTCCATTCAACCAAGTTGGATTTTCCTTCACATAGAGCCTTAAATATTAATGGGCTTTAGTCACATTTCTTTCGATATTTATCAACTTGATATCGATTCAACTCATTGTTTAGCGAATCCACAATGTTATCTTTTGATCTTACAAAATCAATATAGATAACTCTAGTTGAGATCAATTGTTTAATGATATTATGTCGACGATGTATGTGTCTCGACTTACCATTATACTTATACAAGGCACCCCTACACTTTGATGTAGTTGTAGGAAAGTTTTCTACATTTCCATAACTCATACGGTGTCTCGCCTATTTTTTTAAGTTACCTTATTTAAAGGTAATTTACTAATAAAATAGATTTCTCCGCAACTCAGATCATGACCAAATGTCATTCATAATTCTTTAGCAATCTTATGGATACTATACACTTCATATAGTGTATCTGACAATCCATTCAAGATGTAATCCCGACATAGAAACTTAGAATGCTTTCAAGCTTTAATGACAACAATGCCTATCTCATATTCTCTATGAATAGGAGGATCATCCTATATTTGACCATATTCAGCATGATTAAATATAACATCTTATGTCGCTC